CACACAAGATTCAGAAAGCCTATGCATTTGTAACTTATATTTTTGCAGACAAAGTTCATGCTCAATGGCTAAAAGCAAGAGAAGGACTCATCAGGAACTTAATTCCTACCTCAAATGTAAGTAGCCAGTGAAGTAGTAGTAATAAAGACAGTTCTTTTTGTAGATAGAGGTGTGCTGTGTTTGAAGACATCCCCCTTAAATGGGATGCCTGTGTGTCCAAGTGAGGGTAGAGAGAATATCAAGCTAGAAGTCTCTGAAAGCTGCTCCTGGTCTAACTTCACCTGCTACTCACAGAGCTGCACAGCCACATCCTTCTCAAAGCCACTGAGTTTGGTTCATGAGACATCGAGCAAGATCTGTAGGTTACCCTGATTATTTCTCACATGACATTTCCAAGTGGAGATATCCTTAATATCCTCCTGCTTTAATAGCAAGCAGGGGAAGTTCAACTGGTTTCTGTCTAGACCAAGTTCTGGAACAAATTGTGAGGGTCAGTCCTTACCTATCTAAAACTAAACCTGTTTGGCATATGAAGCAAAAATAAAACTTTGTTTCAAGTCTGTTGCAAAATTAGCCAATAGAGGAATATCATGTGTATTGAAGATAACAATTAATAGCATAATATTAGGTAAATAACATACTGTCTAGGTAAATAAGTACGTGATGTAACATTTCAAAGGACTTCAATTGCAAAGTGCCTTTTAGCTTTAACACATTGTACAGATTCATGTTGGTTATGGATCTCTAAAAGACAATGAGAAGCTCTCTGAAGAGATTTTAACACCCAGGAATTTCAAAGCACAGAATCCAGAACCTTCATCTTGCTTTGAAAGTTTGATTCTATGTATACAGAGCCCAGAATTTTTGCCTCTGTGATCCTGTCTCTGAGGGGATCAAGGGAAGAAGCAATATGAAAGAGAGAGAGACATTATTTCACAGTGTACATGAAAAGGTGAAGCAGAAGCATCAGAAAATGCCAATAGGTTATCAGAAAATTCCCCAGGGGGCACAGTCTGTTAAAATACTGAATGCCTTTGATAGGAAATAGTGTAAAATTTAGATCTTTACATGTTCCTGAACAGACAAAGTGACATTCTCTGGGAGAATAACCTGCATTTCCACCCCTTTCACTGAGTCCCTAACCTCCCCCAGGCATCCTAGAAGGGAATGATTCATACTAATTTCTCAGTAAAGGTTATTCTTTGCATATAAACAGATCTATCAGGCAGGAGACAAGAACATCCTTAACTGCTTTCGGCACCTGTGTGAAAAACCAAAGTCAGTAAGTATTGTCCTCTTATCCCAGAGGAAAATAACTCTTGAACTGGACCTTGAGCCTCCTCTCTGACTGCACCCTCAGTTTCAGGCTTGCAGCAGTTGTGCAGATGGCAGGGGATGAAATTTAATCATCCATAAATCCCAGAATCCAAGGTTACACCACAAAAAGGCATTACTGTCTCTGTCTCTCATGTCCTCTTGTCAGTAAGTATTGTCCTCTTATCCCAGAGGAAAATAACTCTTGAACTGGACCTTGAGCCTCCTCTCTGACTGCACCCTCAGTTTCAGGCTTGCAGCAGTTGTGCAGATGGCAGGGGATGAAATTTAATCATCCATAAATCCCAGAATCCAAGGTTACACCACAAAAAGGCATTACTGTCTCTGTCTCTCATGTCCTCTTGGCTAAGCTTGCTGTAGCTTTTTCCCTAGTAATGAAATATTCCTGCCAAGAACTGTGAATATGTTCAGATTGGTTGAAACAGCATATTTCCTTCTTAGTTACCCTGGCTCTACCAAACTGTCTTTTGCCCCTGCCCTTGTCACTGACAGGATGAGCTTCACTCAGTGCTCAGCATCAACCAGCAAAGCTAAGTGTTATTTGTGAAACCCTTACCTTCAGGGAGCCCACGAGGAAATGGCTTTCAGTACCTGTGTGGAATGGTTAAAGAAAGGACAGGGAGAGTTAAATCAAAATCAGTCCATTGTCTTGAGCATGTGCTGTATCAAACATTTCTACACCCTCTGTAGTCTCTGCTGAGGGATGAACTGCTCACAGAGCCTTACAACTCCTAAGCTAAACCCCACAGAAAACCTTGTGTTTCTCCCCACATTGCTGTGAGCTGCTGAGCACAAATCTAATGCCCAGGAAAACATCAGCTACTTTACATATATATATATATCCCCAGTCAATTCCAGTTGCCTTCAGAGTTAGTTTTCCTGTGCCTTTCATAGGGTTTGAACATAGCAAAGTTTGTAGAAGGCCCTGCCAAGGACTGACATCCTATGGCTCTTCTGCTTCTGCTTGTGCTGCCACACTGGAGTGGTTTGGGTCATATAACCTTGACATTGCATGTAGAGCATGACCTGGAATGTTAGAGGTAGGGAATGAAAAGAAAATGCCCCTACATATTGTACCTCTTTGCAGAGCTGTGGAGATGTGATGGGTCAGAGCACGGAGCGAGCGGATGGGACTTACCGTGAGATGCTGAGGTAACAAATCATTGCATTGCCTTCAGCTGCAGCTCTTTATAGGTGACCTCCTGCCCACACGGCACTCGAGTGCTCTATTTTTGGGCAATAATAATTTACTCTTTAGTTGTAAACGTGTTGAAGCGCTGATCTCTCTGCTAATTACTCAGAGACAGGATTGGTTTAAGGTTGTATGGAGTCAGCTGCACTGACCTGTTCTTTTCACATTGCTCTGTGCCAGGATGGAGGAACCCAAAGACAGCTCTGATAATGCCAAATAAGGCAACGCTTGGCTCTGCACTTCAAGAGTTTGCTTTAGTTGCGCGTTTTCTTATTGTGCACAACTATTTCTTTATGGCTATGATTTTAACAAATGCCATCCTACCCTCTCTGTCTATCTACACATGCTGATAGGGAAGGAGGAAGACTTAGCAAGGCAGAACTTTCTCTCATTGCATTCTGTGTGGGGTGCTGACAAGCCTGAAGCCAACCTCAAGCTTGGGACAGAGTGAGACAACTGTCAGCTATGGAGCACAAGACAGCCTTGCAGCCCTGGCCTGTGGGTTTGCAAGACCTGAGCCCTGCAGTCGTGCCCAGGGGCTCAGTCTGACTTGTGTGCCACTCCACCATCCTGCAGAGGATGTCATGGAGCAGGCTGGATGTCCAACCAGGACAACTGGAACTTGCTCTGTAAGGGGATGTGGAAGGAGACTGTCTGCTCCTCTCAGAATATCTGGTTAAGGGCTGTTTTTTACACCACAAGCAACAGTAAGGAAGGGAGAAATGCATAGATGAGAACATACTTTAGCACAAACCTGCCTGAGGGTGGAGGTGATGGGAACCAAACCTGGTCAGTCACACTGCTTGACGAAGGCACGTGAGAGTGCAAAAATGTTTATTCCAGCAAGGTTATCAGCTCAGGGACCTTGTCTGTTGGGAAACTAAGGTAAAAGGGGAAACACTAAATATGTACAGGGAGACCTAGGTCTGGCCAAAGAAAGATAGAGACAAGAAGAAGAAACAAATCTCACCAGTGAAACTAACTTATGGGCTGTCAGGAAGCTTCCAGATCAGGTGCCACATCCAGAAAGAACAACTGGACTTCATGACTGATAAAACTGTGAACCAGGGATGATCCCAGATAAGGTTAGGCTGGGTGCAGGAACTGATAGAGCTGTGCAAACTTGCAGGGCAAGGAAGGAACAAAGAGGGGAGTAAACACAAAGGTTGTAGACAGGGACACACAACATTATGCTTCTTTGGCTGAGCACTGCATCTGATCACCATAGTCTGTCCTGTCTCCTTAGATATTAATGAATCTTTTCTTAACTATCTCTTTGTGTGATCTCACTCTGTCCTGTATACACATGTGTATGCATGGACTAAGTGCCAGCTACTGGTAAGGCATCTGTGTGTGTGTGGGTGAGTAAAAGTTAGTGCTATCTGCTGGAGCCAGGCTGGGGGGTCAGCTACTGGAGCCAGTGAGGTCTCAGCATCAGCTACTGGAGTGAGTGGGGGTCTTTAGCTTCCAGACACTTGGGTGGGAATGGGATGTGTTCCTAAAACCAGTTTACTGTGTCTCTGCTTGTGTGCTGTGGGTGCTGTTGATGGCAGCACCTTGGCTGTGTCAGTGTCCTGTGTGTGTCTGTGTGTCTTTTGCCAACCTGGCTGTGAACACTGCCAGGGTTGGGGCAGCCACAGCCTCCCTGGGCAACCTGGGACAGTGTCTCAGCATCCTCACAGGAAAAAGCTTTTCCTGATACCTAATCTAAATAAACCACCAAGGATGTGTCCATTTATGCTATTTAAGCAGCAGATGCTTGCTATAAAATATACAGAGAGGCCTTTGAGTAAGGTTTAGCATGTAGAACTAAACAGATTTCCTAAACCATAGACTGCAAAGTCATCCTGTGACCTGAGCACTCCTGGGACTAGTTTTTCAGGAAAAAGCTTTTCCTGATACCTAATCTAAATAAACCACCAAGGATGTGTCCATTTATGCTATTTAAGCAGCAGATGCTTGCTATAAAATATACAGAGAGGCCTTTGAGTAAGGTTTAGCATGTAGAACTAAACAGATTTCCTAAACCATAGACTGCAAAGTCATCCTGTGACCTGAGCACTCCTGGGACTAGTTTTTTCTTTTTTTCCCT